ACTTGGTTAGATATACTGCTCATAATTCTTGTAAAAATAATAATTTATCAGCATTCTTGTGGTTATTATTTTTTTATGAAATGACATGGGGCAGAAATGTTATATATATTATTAATTTTGAAAAAACTGTTTACTATATTTTATTTTCTTAGCTTTATAGAATAAGAATATTGAATGTAGAAAAGTGAACCCTAGTGCAAACTATGGGCTTTGGGGCAATAACAACATGTCCATGAATAATGAGGAGCCCATGGGTTCATTTCCTGTTGTACGTGCACCACTGTTGCTTGGCATGTGGGCAGTGGTGGAGGCCGTGCATGTGTGGGGGCAGGGGAATTAGGGAACTCTGCGATTTCTGTTCAGTTGCATTGAACCTGAAATGGCTCTAAAGGTGAGGTGCATTAATTTTTAAAAATATTTTGCATGGTTATGTGACTCATCCAGCACCATTGAGGCCAAATATATTCACAAGATTTATCATTCAAATCTAGTTTTGTATTTCTCTTGCCACTTTACCACACAACTATTTGTGCCTAAGAGCATGGTAGCTTAGGTATCACATCTGAAGATGAACCACAAGCTGATTATTAATTAGATAGCTTTTAATAGCATAGATGGTAGGTGAGCAACAAATTTTGTAAAATTAACATCTGTTATTCTTTAGGTCAAATGATATATAATTGCTAATATTGTAGAGCAATTATTTTTCTTCAAAATTCATATTATGTCTTGTTTTGGCATTTTGCTCTGGATGGTAACTTACCTTTTTTAACTCTTAGTTTGTCTTGTCATTCCTTTTGGCTGTGATTGGGTTGTATGACAATTAGAAAATAATATGTAATTGGCAAAAGGGGACATACAGGCTGAGGAAACTGCCCTGATATAAAACTGTTCTGCTTTCATTTGAATATCATTTTTAATCTCCTTTATGCTAACTGAAAATGCATTGGTATGTTCTTATGAGATTTCTTCCTAAATTCTTGATCATTTCAAAAATGGATGTGTCATGGCTGCTCTAGGACACCTCACTAGTTGTTATATAGTATGTGATTTGTCTTCCTAAAAATTAAAATCTTTCTTTTTATACAGTATAGGGGTCTAGGCAATTACATATACTAAATTGTTGACAAGAACACAAGGAAAAAAACGTGGTTGCCAGAAGGTAAAATAGTAAATAAAACATAAACATTGTGCTGAATTCACAGAAAAAAATTTAAATACCTATAATTATTTTCTTTTGTAGAATAAATGTCAAATACACATTTCACTGAATATGTCCCATTGCTTTACTGAAGTATATTTAAAAGTATTAAAGATTGGACTTTGGATTGAAATGAATGATAATTCCTTGGTTATAGCACGTGGGCTAAAAACCCATACCTTTTAAGGTCATGGCTTTAATGTAATATAGCAGTTTCTTAGTACTTTTATCGTACTCCTCTCTCTACTTCTATAAACTAAATAGGCTCCTGTCTGAAAGCTGTCTGGGAATGCAGCCAAAGAAGGAAGAAGGTTGCAAAAACTCTGGGGACTTGAAAGCAAAGTGGCTGGCATTCGTTTGGTCTTCACTTTAAACTAAAATTAAAACAATTGACAGACATGTTCAGTAATCTCTCTTTTAAGGAAAGAATAGAATGCCTCTATAGCAATGTCAAGTGGAACAATTTGGTCCTGGCCCAAGTTACGCAGCTGTGCAGTGGGAAAAGAGTAAAAAGGCTTCAGTCCAAAGCAGGCAAATAAGGCAGGATTGTTCATCAAGAGTTCCTGGGGCCCTCACATTTAGAACAAAGACAATAACATTAACATACAGGACTGCAAGTTATGAACATTTTCAGCACAAGTTCAGCCACACCATCTTCTGTGATTCATACAAAAGGTTGCAGTATTTTGTGTATTACCACTATGCCTAATGACGTTGGGCAAATCATACATTAATCAAACATTTTGAAAGAAATGATAAATATTTGGTTATTGATTAAATATATTATTTATGTCAGCAACAAGCTATAAGGAAACATATATCCATTATCCATTTCTGATTCCCATCTGCTCATTAAAAGTGGATCAGGTAAATGGAAAGATAATAGAAAAAGTGTTTTGAGAGCCAGTCAGCTGAGCCAGTGTTGCTTGTCAGTGACTTCAAAAACACAAAATGGGGAATCAAGTATAATTGCTCCAAAGTAATGGAGCGGAAATTTGGCAGTAAAATAGGAAACTCAGACCTGTCCATTGGCCATTGTGATATCACATCCTTATTCTTACTCCCACACTTTTTAGGCTTTTTTGATCCTATATTAAAATATGAATGGTCTTTCTATTATTATTTTTTATTTTATAACTTCTTTTTGGCATAAATTCCTTTCCTTCTTTCTCTTTCATTTTTCCTGATTCATTTTCTGAAGTGGGCGATCCTCCCATTACCTTTGCTTCCTCACCACCTACTATTTCCCTGATTAATCCATTTCAATTCACCTTCTGTTCTCTCTGCTCTAGTGAGACTGTTTTCTTTATGAGCAGTAAAGTTTCCTTTTGGGAAAATTCAATTATTTCTTTTTAGTCTTCTCTTGTGTTTTTTTTGTCCTATCTGCCTCATCTAGCACTGTTGGAGATATAATATAAATTAAAGAGAAGCTAGAAATTAGACTGTCTTTAAAGAAGTTAATGTTACATTTATTGGACATGATAATTACTTTGAAACTGTAGAAGAGTGGATTTCAAGATGATTAGGAAGGACGTAAGAAAACCAATGGTCTAAAGGCAGTAAGGGATGTTAGCTACACCTTTAATGTCAATGGCTTGGTGGTCTACAAGGGAAGCTAATGGTAAAAATGAAGATGGGAATGAGAAAACAATATAGGAAAATAATACACATTTACTCATACACCACATTGGGACCTATAAGGATAAAGAAAGAACATAATGACTATACTAATTAGAGGTTTTCTATATGTTATAAACTCATGCTAGAAATAGTTTGGTAGGAATTTAGCAAGTTTTGAGAAAGAGAATAAATATAGAAGAAAGTCTGATAAAAGAGCATGTATGGCAAGAGCAAGATGTGTATTGAGAGAGTGTCTAGTTCTTCATCTTCAAGCTTCAGGGCTGAAAATCATTGTAGGACCCATCTTAGTTTTTCAAAGGTTACTTTGCTAATATAACTAGCAGTTTATAGTCACAATGGAGATAGTAGAAAATAGCCTAAAGAATGTAAACTTTGGGTGGATAAGGTACAAGTACTTGGAAACAAAACTATGCAGGGAAAGTAAAAGCCTTAATCCTTTGCTCTGCATGCCTTGATGCTGATTATGTTCCTTTGTGTCTTCCTATGCTGAACCCTGAGGTTTTATGAGAGAACAGAAATGAATAAACAAAACACAAGCATAAAGAGAGATAAGGAAGAGGAGCAGAAAGAGTTGGAAAGTAATAAGCGGAAGGAATAGGAATGAAGATGGAAAAGAAAGTGGACAGTTTCTGGTGTTAGGTACACAGAATTAGGAGTAAATACATTTGGATTTAGGAATATCTAAAGCTGGCTAGATAGTCTGCTACACTTCTTTTCCTATTTAAAGTACTGAACTCGAAGCCAAAAGCACTTGTTAAAATTTTAATATTAACATGCACTAACACATTTTGATAGCATTTTACAGTTGAAAATATTTTCTATAAGCAATTTAATCTTATCAGATGGTAAGAATTATTAAAGTGAATCATGCAGGATATATGCAGAAAGGCTACTAAGAAAAAATGTTTTCAACATTTAAAACACTTAAATGTTTCTTAAAAGATAAATTAATACATTAATTCAGAACCGATCTTTAAATCTGCATATTTGTATCTCTAAGAAATAATTACTGAAAGAAAGCAGTTTTAAAATACCAAAACTATGACAAGGAAGTGTAAATATGCTTATTGTTGAAAGTACAATGCTATGCAATTGAAGAAGTTAAAACTTTTAGAAAAATGTCTCATAGAATAACATGAAATCGACACTTAACTAACAAATATTTTTAAAAACAATTTTTTTAAATAATTTGACTTGACTTGATATTTCAGGATTCATAGGGTATATTCCAGGAGTGAAATTGCTGGGTCAAAAGGCAGATCCACTTTTAACTTTTTGAGGATAGTCCATACTGCTTTCCATAGTGGCTGCACCAATCTGCATTTCCAGTTATATACAGAAAAAAATTAAACCTTAGTTCTTAAAATTTAAAGAAAAATGCAACTCAATTGGAAAAATTTTTTAATCAACTAATTAATTTATGCTAGAACTAGAGTGTTATTACATTAGAACATTCAAATGGCTCTGAAATAATATTTGAATAATCCATATTTGGATGATCAATACTGATTTTTTTTATAAAAAGTAAATTTTCTATGAGTTTGTTGTTTATAAACATGAATGTGAAAAAGTATAATTCTAGAGTTGAAGTAATGTTAGGACTAAGGCATTCTAATAGTAAAATACAATTGAAAATGTTGAGCTCATGACACTTTTCATTTACATTCCCTCCAAGAAAATTACATTCACAAATTATATTTTGTGGGAGCTGTTACATAAGAGACATAGAGTAGATTTCCCTTGTTAGGAGACTGCTTGCTTATCTAACTTTAAAATTTGGGCATATTTTGAATAAGCTTCAATATTTTCAAAATTTTTCATGGAAGAGTAAGTTCAATAATGTCTAACTTTTATCAATCTGATGGCATAAACAGGGACTGATTAAGCCTATACTCCTTTTCATGTCAAAATATCTCACTGAGAAAAAAAAATCACAGCTGGATACCATCCCAGAAACATCACTAGATGACAAAAAAAAAAAAAGACCGCTCTTCTACAGACACTTAATGAAGACATGGTTCAGGGGGTTTCTGTTCTAGAGATCATTTTGCCCACCAAGCCAAGACAAAAGTAGTGGTTTTCTGCAGTTAAAGCCAGTAATCAAAGCAGAATAGAAGAAGAAGAAGAAAAAAACTTCATTGCTCATTAAATCACTTACAGTGGTTTTCCCTTGGATTCACAAGTCAGAATTAAAGGCTGTCCTTCTTGTGGAAAAGGAGTGGATGGTATAATCTTAACTGATGGTGTATCTAGAAAAAAATGAAAAGGTCATTAAACATATAAAACTATACATTCAGTAACTGTACATCACGCTGTGTGTTCATGTTCTTTTTTATGATTGTGTACATACAAAAGGGATTTCTTAGGTTTGGTGAAACAAAAGTATGTAATTTTAAGAAGCTACTATCTTGTCCATGGAAAGCTAACAGAACTACCTGAATATTTGATGAGCACTACTGTTGTATTATTTCTGAAATCTGAATTTAAAAGTGAAATTGCAAAAAACTGGGTTCAGATGAATATCAAGCACTTCATACAATTGTTTCTTCAACTATTTATAGACAGCTATGAATACTATTATTGTGGACTGAATGCATTTTTGTACATTTGAATAACAACACTTTCATTGTTGCAGAAATACCAGGAGCTTATAATAAGGTATCCACAAAAAACTCAAGATCAACTACTATCTCACAGCATTATGCAAAATCTTTTTGAAAAATGCAATAATGCAGTAATTGGTACATGCTGTTTGCTCTAAAGTAGTTAGCAAGACATTTGAAATGGCTATTTAGAATATTGCTAAAAGTTAACTTTTTGTTTTAGATGTTACAACATATTGTTAATCATGTCCACTTAGTAATAAAATCGCCCTTAGTGGAAAAAGATCCAAGAATACTTTAAGACATTCATATTTATAAATTTGAAAAAATGATACATACTCATCATATTTTAATTAGTAGAAAAAAATAAAAGACAAATAACCACTATTTTTTATTATCACAGTTAATGATTAGACTTATCATATAATTTTGTCTTCAAAGCAGAACATTTTTAAAGTGAAGAGAAAATATTAACACTTATGCAGGGAAATAGCTGTGAGCAAGAACAATTCTGGGCAAACTGAGGTCTATGATTTTTTGAAATTTGACTCTGTATACATAAAACAAAATTTAATTTTCTTCTGACAATGTAAAAGAAAGCTTTATTTCCAGGAAAAATGTAGCAGAATGAAGATCACAAAAGTATGATTTGGGGAAAGAAAATCATGTTAATTTGGGTGCCTGTTATGTGTAATTGTATGTGTCAACTTGAATGTATCATGGGACACCCAGATATACAGCCAAATGTTCTTACAACTATTTCTGTAAGAGTGTTCGGAGAAGATGAATGCTTATTAATATTTTATTTTTAATTACAGTTTATTTTAATACAATTTTGTATTAGTTTTAAGTTTATAGCATCATGGTTAGACAGTAATACTGAACAAATTGCTCTCCTCGATATTTCCAGTACCCACTAGCCACCATCCATAGTTATTGCAATGTAGTTGACTGTTTCCTGTGCTATACTTTACACCCTTGTGACTATTTTGTAACTGCCTATTTGTACATCTTAATCTGGAGAAGGTTAATATTTAAATTGGTAGATTTAAAAGACTGCTCAAAATAAAGTGGGTGGCTCTTGTATAATCCATTGAAGTTTTGACAAGAACAAAAAAGCTGACCCTTGCCCAACTCTTTTTATAAATTAAAGACTTCCACCAAGATGGAGGCATAGGTGGAAGCACTGCACCTTCTCACACAACCAAGTTTAAAAACAAGAAAGCTTTAGCAACAAAAACGCAGCCAAACCACAGAAAATTGAACTACACGGAAGTCTGACAACAACGAACTCTTCAGCCAAACCGGTAAGAGGGGCAGAGCCAGCAGCAGAGCGGGGTCAGGCAGGAAAGATCCACCGGACCAACCCTGGCTCCCAACCCAGGCGCACAACCCAGTTGCACTGCAGCTGTAGGTGGATCCCAGGTGTGGAGTAGGGGGCGGACCCACTGAGGGTGCAAGGCGGTGGACTCACTCACTGAGGGCTGACCACAGTCACACAGTCGAGCGCAGATAAACCAGTGAAGGAGCAAAGCAGTGAGACAGACCCTGCAGGCTCCAGTGGTGGAAAGTGGCAGAGGGGACCGCCACTGTCCCTCTCTGACCCCGCCCCCACATACAGTGTCACAAACCAGCAACCTGGGTGGCTCCGCCCTGGTGAACACCTCCTCGCTCGTAACAGGCATGAACAGATCAAAACATGGCTCAAGAACAACTCAGAGCCCCAGAGCCGATAAATCTAAGTAATGAAGAAATAGCCAAACTTTCAGATGCACAGTTCAAAACACTGGTGATCAGGATGCTCACAGAATTGGTTGATTTTAGTCACAAATTAGAGGAACATATGAAGGCTCAACTAATTGAAATGAATGGTAATGCACAGGAAACCAATAGTAATGGAAAGGAAACTGAGACTCAAATCAAAGCAGTGGACCAGAAAGAGAAAAAAAATGACCAAACAGAAAAAGATGAAGAAACAAGAATTAAAAAAAAATGAGGAGAGACTTAGGAACCTCCAGGACATCTTTAAACATTCCAACATTTGAATTATAGGAGTACCAGAAGGGGAAGAAGAACAGCTATGAGTGGAAAACTTGTTTGAACAAATAATAAAGGAGAATTTCCCCAATCTGGCAAAGGCAATAGACTTCCAGGAAATTCAGGAAGCTCAGAGAGTCCCAAAGAAGTTGGACCCAAGAAGGAACACACCAAGGCACATCATAATTATATTAGCCAAGATTAAAATGAAAGAGAGAATTCTAGAAGTAGCAAGAGATAAGGGGACAGTCACCTACAAAGGAGTTCCCATCAGATTTCTCAAAAGAGACCTTACAGGCAAGAAGGGGCTGGAAAGAAGTATTCCAAGTCATGAAATCCAAAGACCTACATCCAACATTGATCTATCCAGCAAAGCTTTCATTTAGAATGGAAGGACAGATAAAGTGCTTCTCCAGTAAGATCAAATTCAAGGACTACATCATCACCAAGCCCTTATTATATGGAATGTTAAAGGGACTTATCTAAGAAAAAGAAGATAAAAAATATGAACAGTGAAAGGACAGCAAATTCACAGTTACTAAGAACCACACCTAAAACAAAAACAAACTAAGAGGACAGCTAGATCAGGAGTGAACCATAGAAATGAAGATCACATGGAGGGTTAGCAACAGGGGAGTGGGAGAAGGAGAAGGGGGGAGAAGGTACAGAAAGTAAGTAGCATAGATGGTAGATAGAAAATAGATAAGGGGGAGGGCAAGAATAGTATGGGAAATATAGAATCTAAAGAACTTGAGACATGTGGTCATAAACTAAAGGGGGGGAATGGTGGGTGGGGGAGGGGTGTGCAGGGTGGACGGGCATGAAGGGGGGAAATAGAACTGTAATGGCATAATCAATAAAATTTATTTAAAAATATTGACTTTTTTTGAGTCTTTAGACTTGAACTGAACATCCTGGGTCTTGAGCCTGCTGGACCTCAGACTGAAATGATATCAGTTCTTGTTCTCACGTTTTAGACTCAGAATGAAACTAAATAATTAGTTCTTCCTGTCTGTTGCATGCTGACTCAGATTGAAGATGCAGAGACTTGCCAGACTTTATAATTGTGTGAATCAATTGTTTAGTGTGTGCATGTGTGTGTCCATTCTCACTATTAATTCTGTTTCTCTGGAGAACACTAACTAGTGCAGACCCCTAACAGATAAAACTTGGAACTTTTTTTTTTAATGAGGGGTGAGCTCAGAAAGCACTGAGAAATGAGGCAAAAAGGAAGAAAATAAAAAAAAAGTGTTATTGAGAGAATACACCAGAGACAACTGGGGTTAAATCCTGCTCTGAACTTTGATAAATGTAGGGTATGCCTCAATTATGTTCCTTGATGGGCAAGGCGCAGGGATATTTAGGGAATACAGGTCTTCCCAGAAGATATCCAGCCATACAATATGAAAAAGAGTGACATGTATGTAAGAATATACAAGATATGATAAGCATTGTACATAGGACAATTATGTCTCAGTCCCCCTCAAAGTAGGCACCTAGGGACCTCACACAGTTCTCCCAATCACCATCCGCTGCTCCACTGTATTTTCCTGAATCTCACTGAGGGTTTGAAATCTCTTCTCTTTCAAAGGTAATTTCAGTTTTGAGAACAGCCAAAAGTTGCAGGGAACCAAATCTGGGCTGTAGGGGGACTGAGTCACCTGGGTAATTTGATGTTTTGCCAAAAAACTGCATGGGACGTGAACCAGGAGCAGGTGTTTTGTCATGATGAAACTGCCAATCATCAGTTGCCCTTAGCTATGGCTTTCTGAATCATCCAAATAGTTTCCATGGAGGAATAGAAAATTTGATGGACATTCATTGCTGTACTCACTCAGTCATTCTGAGTGTGGCAGCCACACTGTGCACATACTCACTCAGCAGCATCTACCGTTCCTACTGACTAGTACAGTGAAGTCGTCATTGTTCACACATGTGCTTTCCAATCCACTCACCTTGGCTGCCAGATTACATCATGTTATGCAAATCACTCTCATTATATTAACAATGGCTGGACCTTTTCCAGACTTTGTTTTTAACAATTCTCCTTAGTTCTCAGTGAGAATTACTCTGGAGGCAGGAGGGAATGTTATCTCCCTGGCACTCCTGGTCTATTCAACACAAAGGAGTGATGTGTATCAAAGGGGTATGGATTGGAATGTATCTGCTTCAATTGTGTAAAATATACAGCAGCAGGTAGCTATTTGAAGAGAGAATATGGTCTGATTGCTCTTAACACGGCACTTTTCAGTTTAAATAGCTTATAAGGTAGGTAACAACTTGTGTAACAAACAGTTCCCTGAAGCATGGTTCAATGTGCTCTTCATATTCAAAATACTGAATTTGGTTATAACTACATGCCAAAACAGATAATGTGCTTAACATGTATTTCTACCAAACATTCATGAAGGCCACCAAATAACCACTGAGTTACCAAAATCAAGGGATATAATACAATACTCTTATTTCACATCAGAATGTTGATATAAAATAAAGTATTGATTAGATTCAAATATTCCTAAGAATTATCCCTAGGTTATGTAATGTCTCTTTTGTTCATCACCCCCACATTTCTGACTCAGTTTTCACATCTCTTGTTACTTTTCCCA